GTGGCCTCCCGGTCGGTCAGCCAGTTCTTCGTCCATAGGACGAGCCACCTCGGGAAGCGCATTTCTCGAAGGGTAGCTAGTAGTCGGACGTGGTTGACCGTGTCAAAGGCGCCTGAGATGTCCAGCTGGAGGAGCGACGCTGTGGCTTTCTGTCTCCAGGCTTCTTGTGCCTGAGCTACTACCAGTCGGATTGCCAGCTCTGTCGACCGGTGCGCCCTGTTGCCCATCTGCTCATCTGGGAGTAAGCCGTTGATTTCCGCGGCTTGAGTGACCTTCCTGGCCACTACCGATTCTATTACCTTCCCCAAAGTCGGTAGTAGAGCAATGGGCCTGTAGAGCAGATATAGTGTCCCATTGAATATTGATCATTTTAACCGCTTCCGGCTTCAATGGGGTCCTTAGATTATCAATCCGGCTGACCTAAACTTCTCAAAGCTCTCTAACCAACCCTGGATCGGGTCCTTGTCTCCTTCGAATCCAGTCTCCCTCAATTTCTTCAGAGACAGTTGCCGGTCAAATGTCAACCAATAACCAACGCTGTCCAGTTGCCGGCTACCAACCCCAACGCCTCCACTGGCAGCATTCACAGCTCCGTGCTTGGCAAAGGTGTCCCTATGCTTGGCCACATACTCTCCCGGTGTCGAAGACAAGTTAGTCTGAGGGAGCTCGCTAACATTCAAAGCACGATCCTGATCTTGCATGTTCTCGGCGGGTCCTAGACCCACGAGGCCGAACCATTTGGCCAACTGGGGCCAGATCTCGCCAAGCGTGCATGGCGCCTCGTTGTCTGCAATGTTGAACAATCGTCCGCCGCCGCACGTCTCGGGGTGTAGTGAGGCGTATATCATGAACCGCGCGATGGTCTTGCTCGATACTGGGGTGAACAGTGCGTTGGCACTGGCAGGGTTGCCAGGGAAGGGGACTTCGACGGTCGTTGCTTTGGACGCTTGATTTGGTCCGACGCCGTGGTTCACGGCGTACAGGGACAGGTATTGGGCCCAGTGGAGGGCTAAGCTGAACTGGGAGCCATTGGGGGTGAATCCAATCTTGATTGGCGTTAGCTACGCTGGAGTTCATGAATGAAAGACTCACAATGGCATCTGGACAAACTTCGCACCATGTCCATTTCTTCCCTTTTGACGCTGCGTTGAGAAGTTCGCGGTACGCTGGGTAGACAACAGTTTTGGCGTAGCTGGGCGGGAGGTTGTTTACCATGTCCTCGGTTAAGGGAGGCGTGAACGTCCCTCCGGGCATGTAAATGCCATATCCCTGGTTGATCAGCATACGACAATTGGTTTCAGTTTACGACTTTTCGTGGCACTCACCCGTGTTCCTCCAGGAAAAGTCACAAACCGCAGATTGGGACAGAGCAGGTTGTGGGCGTCGATGACATTTTGAAACATGCGCAAGTTGGTTGCGACCTCTTCGATGTCGTCTTCAACTGCGGTGAAGACTTTTGATGGTGAGTCTCTGCCGAACTATACTGCAATGGAGAAACGGACATACCCAGGTAGTAAATATGCGTGACGCTTTCGATGTCTTTCACTTCCCGCTTCAAGCACTCGGCCAGAGCCGCCGCATCGCCGTGACGGAGGTCAACGCCTGAGACAAGCTGCAGGTCTGGTCGGTGGGAGTCCGCGGGGGGCCAATGAGACTCGGAAAGGTTGAGTGGCCGGTTTGTAGCCGCAGTGACCTTGGAGAAGGAGCCGGCATGAGGGTAGGGACTCAGAAGCTGATCAACCAGGGCCCAGCCAATCAGGCCGGATGCGCCAAAGACAATGGCGTGGTTGTTGGACTCTCCACCCATTTTGAGTGTTAAACGCAGAAAGTTATGAGGTTTAGGGGTTCGTGTATGGAAACTGGAAAGCTTGATGTTGCTTTCTTTAAAAGTGGTCCGTTGAGGTCGATTGGATTGAGTTTCCTGTCATGCCGCTCTATCATTCATCAATCTTGACGAGATAACCCTCACATGAATCATTCTGAATCATTTTGCAGTCCCCACAACCGGGTTCGTCTGAAACCAGAATTCTTTAAGATTGGTTGCGTCTTCCTGCCGTCACTTGAGAACAGCCGGCCCACTCTCCGCCAAACCCAATATCCTGTTGGAAAGCCAACAGCCACGAAATTTCCGCACCGTAGTAATTGGGCACTAAAAGATGGGCAATCACTCATTGATGATGACCCTGATGTCTTCGTTGTTCCAAACAGTTGCAGGCCTCTTCTTGATCCTGAGAATCCTGGTACCAAGCCATTAGTCACACCTGAACGGCCCTCCCTGATCAACCGCCAATCCAACATGTCCCACCTGGTTAGGGTGGGTGGGGCAAGCGGGTCGAATCAAGCGCGTACTGCAGCCGGCAAAGCTTGCTAGTTTAGTATCGCTAAAGCACTTACTACGCATTGTGTCTTCAACTTGGTCCAGTTGAGAGTGAGCATAATTCGGTGCTATGATGGAATCACGATTGTCACTTGTAGGTTTGCATTGAAATCTTGTTCGCAAAAACCAGAAGGGCCGCTGTCCGTCTGGTGGAAATACCACGCGACTATAAAGCCACGGCAAGGAAGCGGCAAGTGCCGTAATCTGTGTAACGTGCGAGATGAGGACTAAAGTGGACGAATCGGATGTACGGATCTGGAGTATCAAGGCCCTTTGGGCTTAGCGCCTTGGGGCGAAATCAAATCCATTCATCCGGGGCGCCTGCGCTCAGTCGGTGGTTCTTGTATGTACAGAGATCCAAACCTAACCCCCCCAACCTCCCATAGAAAAAAAAAATCAGTCATCTTCTAGCGATACATCTCCTGGCCAGGCAAATTCGGGCTATCATTGTCAAGGACAGAGGAAGCGGGTAGGCGCGCCTTGACGTATAGGCTGCTGGCGAGGATGCCTTGGTTCTACCTACAGTGGCTAAGCCACGGCCCACGGCCCTTGTGAATTTCTTGGCGTAAGGGTCAGCACGTGCCGCATCCCGCTCACCCCTCAATTAACGCTCAAAATGCAACGCCAGCTAAAGAGAGATGCAGAAAGTCTGCTAAACGACGAGGACATCAAGAACTATACAGTGTTGGCGGTCTCAGAACCATACGCGAGGATGGTGGATGAAGCGGTGGTGACTGTCCCAATGGGACATCACAACTGGACCAAGTTGATACCAACGACAAAGTGGAACACAACTTGGCCAATCCGGAGCATATTATAATGTGGGTACGAAGCGACATGGAGGTCGAGCAGATCCCAGTGCCGTCAGCAGACCTCACTGCAGCACAGATTCGACACACAGACCGGACAGTGCTAATAGTGTCAATCTACGTTGAGGGTGGCAACGACGTAGCTCTGGACGCCGCAATGGGAGAGCTTGATGGGTTAATCAGAAGGTTCCGAGACGGAACGGGAACTAGAACAGACGTCGTTCTGGCGGGTGACTTCAACCGCCACGACCAGCTCTGGGGAGGAGACGATGTCTCACCACTGAGACAAGGCGAAGGAGACCGCATCGTCAACCTCATGGACGAACACTCCCTCTGCAGCCTCCTCCCAAGAGGCACGAAGACATGGCAGTCAGGGGACGTAGAAAGCACGATCGACCTGGTACTGGCTTCTGCAGAACTCGCAGACCAGCTACTTAGGTGCTGGATTCATTCCTGTGACCACGGATCTGATCATAGAGCGATCGAGACGACATTCGACATCGCAATAGAAGACCGCTCAACGGAGACGGGGTTTCTCTTCAAGAATGCACCGTAGACAGAGATTAGGAGTAGGGTGGCGTCGAACCTAGAGAACGTCCCCTGGGATGGTAGCGTCCAACAGCAGACGGATGGGCTTATGACAGCGGTAACCGAGGCGGTCTACAGCCTGACACCCAAAGCCAAACCGTCACCATACGCCAAGCGGTGGTGGACAACAGACCTAACTCGGCTCCGCCGAACCCACACTTTCTGGAGAAACCAGGCGAGATCACGACGCAGGATGGGGCAAACATCGTTGGAGCTTGAGCAACGAGCCAGGACGGCAGCCAAGGAGTACCACGATGCTATCCGCAGACAGAAAAGCTCACACTGGAACGACTTCCTTGCCGACGGTGCGAACATCTGGCAAGCAGCAAAATACCTGCAAACCGGCAGTGGCACAATGGGCGACAAAATACCCCAGCTTGTCCGAGCTGATGGTTCTATCACAGAGGGCAAGGCAGAGCAAGCTCAAGCGTTACTAGCCACCTTCTTCCCACCGCTGCCAGCCAGAATCAAAGACGAGGGACAACGTCCTCAGCGGGCACGAGTGGACATGCCGGATCTAACAATGGAAGAGGTGGAACAGAAGATCATGTCCGCCAAACCATGTCCGCCAAACCATGTCCGCCAAACCATGTAAGGCACCTGGCGAGGACGGCCTACCGGCAATGGTATGGAGACAACTCTGGCCAGTTGTCAAAGACAGGGTACTCCTCCTATTCCAGACCTCACTTCGAGATGGCGATATCCCCAGTCAATGGAGGAACGCCAAGATCATCCCACTGAAGAAGCCTGGGAAGAGCGACTATTGTGATGGGCTGAGCCCATGATGGCCTCGGCAACCCTCGGCCGTGGTATCTTGATAACGTCATCCTGAAGCAGGCAGTGTCTGTGTGTTCCGGAGCATATAAGAGCTGCCCTCTCTTCCTGTCATCTAGTTCTCTCTTTTCTTCTTCTCTCTCCATTCGAGGAAAACTCGTAGAGTCGTCACCAGCTAGTTGCAATATACTCCTGGGACCGTTACAACTATACACTGGCCAAAGCCTGGAGACCCTATCTCGCTACTCTCCACGCTTGGCAAGACACTGGAGGCAGTCATTGCGGAACGCCTGTCCTATGCGGCAGAGACATTTGGCTTGCTACCTGCGAACCACTTTGGAGCTAGGAAGAGACGGTCCACTGAGCAGGCTCTCCTCCTGCTCCAAGAACAAATCTACAAAGCATGGAGAGCCAGAAAAGTGCTTAGCCTGATCAGCTTCGATGTAAAGGGTGCATACAATGGGGTCTTCAAGGATAGGCTGCTCCAGAGGCTCAGGGCAAGAGGTATACCAGAGGCTCTGGTTAGGTGGATTGATGCCTTTTGCTCTCGGCGCACAGCAACCATCGTGGTGAACGGGTTTACGTCTGAACGGCAAGAGTTGCCCCAAGCGTGTTTGTCACAAGGATCACCGCTGTCCCCGATATTGTTACTCTTCTTCAATGCAGACCTGGTACAGCACAAAATCAACGCGAACGGAGGCTCAATTGCTTTTGTTGACGACTATACGGCCTGGGTTGTAGGCCCAACAGCAGAGGCGAACCGCTCAAGCATCTAAGCCATCATAGACAGGGCCCTGGATTGGGAAAGACGGAGCGGCTCCCAGTTCGAGAGCGAAAAGACGGCCATCGTACACTTGACAAGGAACAAGGAGCGATCCTCCGAAACGCCGTTCATAGTCAGAGGGGACACGATCAAACCAAAGAAGAGCGCAAAGATCCTGGGGGTAACAATGGACTGCGAACTCCGCTACAAGAAGCATATTGCCAAGACGGCAACCAAGAGTCTTACAGCCGTTTTGGCCCTGAGGAGGCTGAAGATGCTTTCCCCGCGAACAGCAAGACAACTGCTTGTAGCGACAGTGGCTCCCGTCATGGACTATACGGCCAGCGTCTGGATGCATGCGTATGGGGACAAGGCGCTAAGCTAGCTGAACAGGGCACAGAAAATTGGTGCCCTAGCAACCACAGGAGCCTTTCGGACTATGGCGACAGCAAAGCCGAAGCGAGCATTCTCCCTTTACCAGAACGACATACCCACGCGGCAGCCAGGTTATAGATCAACATCCACACTCTGCCTTGGGACTCAAACTCTCGCGCTCTGGAAGATCCGGACAACAGCGCGATTCGTCTTCCCGCTTCAAAAGATCGCCCGTATCGCGGAAGGTTTAAAAGTGTCACGGGATTCCCCGTTCCTGTTGTCATGGTTATGTCATATGCTTGCGGTTATGCATACGTCATGGGGTCTGATCATACGTCTAGGGTCATGCTAACGCATAGGCCTCTGCTCCAGTACTTAAGGTCTGGTTGCACGCCCATTCCTGTCATTTAGCTCTTGCTCTCGTTGTAGCAATATCGATCTTGTATGTGCGAGCTGACCAGACCTTGGGTGGTGCCCGTCACAAAAAGTCGATCAAATGGAAATAATTCAAGAATACGCCGTCGCTCCCTGGGCACCTCGCCTACAGCCGACGATCGAAGCTGACCGAGAGAAGGCGACCGAGATGGCCAACGGAGCCATAGGTATCGTGATTGCAACAAGCTTATCCGTGAAGAAAGGCATTGTCGGTGTTAGTGGCATCGCACCAGACACTCTCTTCAACAGGACCAGCGAGACCGTGATAAGATTTGCTGTAACCCTTAGCACGAGGGAGAAGCAGAATCTATACACAGCAGAACTAGCAGCCATTGCAATGGCCTTGGAGAAGATTCCGGCCAACGCCTGCCATAGGCATATCACCATCGTCACCAGGAATCAGTCAGCGCTAGCAGCAATTAGGCAACCGCGACAACAGTCCGGCCAAGTCACTATACGACAAATCTACGAGTTGGCTAGACTGCACCAAGAAAGAGGGAATTCGGTTGACTTCCTGTGGATCCCAGCGGAAGCCAACTTTGCGTTGGGCTTAGAGGCCAAGGCGGCAGCATAAAGGACAACAAGATAAGGACAGATACCCAACCTCTGAAGGCCCTAAGCAAGTCCACCGCAATCAGGCTGGAATTGGCCAAACAACGACAGGGGAGAGTTCCCCGAAGGCGTAGGTAGATTCTCAAAGGCTCTGGACGTGGCACTACCTGGCAAGCACACTCGCGATCTCTACGACAAGTTAATACGAAGAGAGGCCTATATCTTGGCATAACTCAGAACCGGAATGGCGAGGCGAACGGCTTTCTGAGCAGAATCGGAGCGGTCGAGTTAGACCTTTGTCCCTACGGCCAAGCGAGGGAAACAGTGGAACATTTTCTATTACGTTGCGTGAGATGGGCCGCTCTAAGGGAAGACATGTTGCAATGCACAGTGGCAAGGCGAGCCAGCCTCTCATTCTATCTAGGAGGGAAAGCACCATCGGATCCAAGGATGTGGTCGCCAGACATGAAAGCAGTCCGGGCAACGATCAAGTACGCAATGGCGACAGGGAGATTGGATCTTGACGAGGGAGGACGGAGATTGAATCATTCACACTAGGGGAACTCCACTAACACCACACAGCCTCAGCCAGCGATCCCGCTTTAGCTGCTGAAGATAGGACGCTGAACACTTGGAGAACGCAGCCTCCAAGTCGATCTGCTAAACTAAGTCAAGAGGCAATAGGTGGCGTGAGAAAAGGGGAGAGAGTAGAGCGCTTGTACGAGTTGATGATTGAACGTCAACGAATTGGATGTACAGTACTTAGCGTGCCAAGGCCCTTTAGGCTTCGTGCCTCCGGGCGAAATAAATTCCATCCATCCATCCATGCAACGCCAGCTTCACTGCACGATCATTGAGGCAGCGGTGATCAAGTCCGTCTTTTGCAGGACATACCCGCGGAGGCTATGGCCGGCGATTCATCTGGCAAGAGGTGGTGGAAAGTCAAAAGGTCACAGAGTTGGTGGGAAAACGTCTGTAACGGTCTCAGGTAGTATATTGCAACTAGCTGATGACGACTCTACGAGTACACTGAACTTGGAGAAGAAAAGGAGAGACGACAGACTCTGGT